GGGAGTTCCGTTAGCGATCAATATCTTCCGACCTAAACCGGCAAGACAACGATTCCGTGGCTCAATGGTTAGAGCACTAGACTCCGGTCGAAAAGGTCACGAGTTCGAGCCTCGGATGGTGCACCACTTGGGACTGGTTGATGACGGCTAATAAGCCAGATATGGTCATTCCATTTTCTCTTATCATTACCGACAATGCTAGCTGTCCTGACTACTAGCCGCTACGGCTACTACCAGGACCTGAGAAATGAGACCAAAGGCAAAGCGTAACAAGTGAGTTCCGTTAGCGGTCGGTTAAGGTACATCAGTGAGTGTCAAAAAAGAATATTTTTCGTCATTTTTTCGATGACATATATTTATGTTTATAAGGACATCGAAAATAAATAGAAAACGTTCATTTTATTTAAGTATTATTTTATATCAAGTTTGGTTTTGGAAGGCAGTCAAATGAAGTGAATTCAAAAGCCAACTTTCGGGAGTGTTTGAAACATAATGGGGATATTCCTCAATTAACGGATACTCGTTAACCACTCTGAACCCACTCTGGACGTGACCACCAAAACACCAAACCAAGAAGGAAGGAGATCAAGTTAAATGAAAGGCCAAAATATAAATATCACAGGTAGCATTTCGTCGATTCGAAAGAAAAAGTTTTCCTCATAAGAGCGGAAGTGTGGAAAACGTGAAAATTTCTGTCATATGAGTAGAGTCCAGATTTGTTATTACACTATGCTTTTTCTTGAAAATAATTGATCAAATAATACAGTTTGCTTGGCAGTCATTAGCTATGTGCATGAGTGAAGTACCATATATGTATGTTACACGACCCCAGGTAAGTTATAATATCTACTTGAAAACTGATTTCAGCATCTCGGCTTAGTTCTGCATGCACAGGGTATATGGTAGGCGGAGGGCCACGGCACGTCAGACACTATTTGCAATTAGTCACCCGCAGAGCGATAGACCCGGGCAGTTAGGCGGTCGTTTGAAAAGAGGAGGGAAAGGGAGGAAGTGCAGCCGATATCAAGGCACTCTTTCGCATGGCAAGCAGTGCGCTTCAAAAAGCACATCTAAGCGCTCAAGTTCGGGGCTTGGAGCGTCTTTTTTGGCTGAAAACTTCGTCATACCTCCTTTAAAATGAATTTCAGACTTGAGTGGGCCTTAGATGTTGCCCATGGAACCGTAATAGGCGTGGCTTTTAGCCACCTTGTAAAGCTCTGAGACGACGAACAGAACACAATGGTTCTCGTGGCAAATCGTTTCAATGACCAACTCGAAACCACTATATTGACCGTGCGTAAACTGTCAGTTATAATTCATGCTCGGCTACCGCTCAGGGTATCGAGCAGTGTTGGAAGCAGTACGGCGGAAATGTTACATTTTTTCCATGTAAACTATGCACTACAGTCAAAATGTCCTACTGTGTGGGTACTTTGCGTAAAACTAGCGAGAAAAACGACTTTTCATATTCAAAATACTCATTTTCTTAAGATAGTGGCTTATTAACATAAAGGGTCCAGGTTATTCACTTAACATTTAGTAAAGTACTCATGGGTATGGTTAAAGATTTTCTGTTATGTTCCAACTTTTGATAGAGGGGTGGTATTCTGTAAGTATTCCCATTAAGACGCTGGATTAGGTTACTACCTCTCAGGAATACAGATGATCCTTGGCTAAATTTCAGGAGGCGTACATACTCTCTTGTTCTCACCCTGGCATGTAACTCTTACTTTATCTTAAAAAACCCTAATCTTCTGGATTTTGGCGCAAGACCACTTGTATTACGGGGCTTTCTATTGCCTATCTCACTGCAATTCGAAAAATAGCACAGGTTATAAACGTCCATTCCCCGGGAACGATAATGCGAAAGTTACCAGGCTAATGGCATTTGAGAAGACGAAAACATTTTCATTTCTTGCTATTTTCTTTGCTGATACAGGCAAGTCATTGCATTTTTAGCTTTTACTTTTTTCTTGCATTGTGAGTTAAATATCCGATAGAAATAAATGAGCAGTGAGTTCTCAATATGCTAATTCAACACACTCCTGATATATAAACCAGATTTGGGTAATAGTTAATTTGGTCGTCCACTTTAGATACCCCTAGCACCTAGTCCTATGGTTACATTCAATTTTATTGGGTTTAGTTTAGTTTAGTTTTTGGCTTAGTTAGATACAGCCAACATTAAATAACTGCTGTATAGTAAATAAAATAAGCTAAAGTAAACAAAACCGACTAACCTGAAAACTAACTAAATTAAAACTTAAATTAAACTACTAAACTAAATAATAAACTAAAACTAAAGTAAACTAATAGCATCGGTCCCGTAAGAAAGAATTCTGGGGCTAGAGGTATCTGAGATGGGCGACTGACTTAACTGTTATCCAAATTTGTTTTATAATTTAGGAATCTGTACCGTAATTTATAATACATCCATATATCACTCTGTTCCCGGTAGGTAAAGAGTGGAGCCGGCCAGCTCAAATATCTTCATGACTGTTTGCCGGCTTTCTTTCTCTTTTCAGAGACGCTGAATGCATTGGCAGCTGGAAGAAAGAATACCACAAGAAACAGCGAAGCCTCTCTGCTGTCTACAGACAGAAGAATTCTGAAGCAATAAAACAAGGTAATTGAAACAATTAGTAGTTTTGATTTTTCTAACTCATATTCTATAAAACCTTAAAGTAGGATACAGGATCAACGAATTTTTTTATCTGTCAATTTAGACTCATTTTTGAAGTCATCCTCAGATAGGTATAGGGGGATACACAGACGGTACAGTACTTATGTGATATGGTTTTAGTGATACTACGAACATTTTAGCATTACCAGTTGTTGGTACTTGCTGCGATAATCGCTTGGTCATCCGCATCTGAGTATTTAAGTGCTCCTAGTCCACCATCATCGTTGGCGATTGACTTCGTAAGTACTCGGTTTTTCGATTCACCCATGAGGAGAAGTGTGTTCTTCCAGCGTGACTGATAACCTTGCTTTGGGAAATTCTGACCGTGGAATTGGAACGGGAGAAAGATGCTGACCTTTGTTGGTCCAGGAGAACAAGGGCTAAAGCAGCTCTCTATCAGCTAAGTTAGAACCTGTTGCGAGAATGTAAATCCCATCGAAGTTGAGGGTGAGACGGACCTCGTCAAGCGTGTCGCGACCGCAGATTTGGCATCATTCCTCCTTACCGCTATCGCGTGTTCAGTTATCTGCATCCCGAGTAATATTCCTCTTTTTTTTTCTGACGTAGTTACTTTGTCCACCGCTGCACGATACCTGGACAACGATTGCAGTTGCCTTTTAGAATTGACAATGAGTATTTTGTCCCGTTAACCGACACCTGGTGCTTACCTCCTGTCTGGCTGCAAATCTTTGCCCCCTAAACGGACCGCGTCATAGATGTACCAGGCCAACACGGAAACAACTTTTCTCGCAGTATCTGGCGAAATTTACTCGGAAATTATTCCGCGGAACGATTCAGTAACAGAAAAATGGAGAGCCAGTTTGAAACAGACAAGCTCCATGCTAGACCTCAGAGTATTGCCTTTATTTCTCTTAGGAACCAAGTTCTTGACTAAAGGAATTTTAATGACCCACCAGCGGCTACCGTCTTGTTAAGTACAACTGTCAATTCCTGTCTATATGCTTTCTATTCTTTATTAGAGTTGCTATTGTAGTAAAGAATACTTATTCACACCTACTCGAGCGGTCACCTAGGAGCCTTAGGATGCTTCCTGTCAGTATTTGTTGTTATTTAAGTGATCTGTTTGGCTTACCACGCTTTTGCCTAACCAATATTGACCTGAGGTCTCTGCTTCCGCCTTCTCACAGAGGCCCTGGACCGCATTCAATACGCACCATTTGATACAAATAAGAAGCAGATGCTCATAATGCTGCCTACTCAATTGGAACAGGAGAAAATGAAGCCGAAGCCTGCCATTGCAGGAGAGCCCCCGCCTCCGCATCTAGATAAGGGCGTTTTACTTATGATGGAAAAAGAACGGTCAGTTCGGCTTCTCTCTTGTCCTGTTGTTATTAAAGGGCTCTGATTCTGCGAGTTAGTGCTTGTTTTTTTTCCTTGCTATCTACTCACTAGTCATGTCGTAGTGAGAGGTGCACCAAACATTCCTGACCTTTCTTCCACTCCTTTGTTAAGCGGGATAAATCTTTTTTTCTATCTGTCACATCTTCTATTGCTTTCATCATGTCAAATGCACTTTTGCTTACTTGCAGGGCGAAAAAGGACAAAATGCTGTACCGTCAAGTACACCGATTGTCCGACTATATAGACTCGAAAGTTACGGAACCCGTACAGGGGTCTAGGGCTGAATTAGAAGACGCGAGCCAGAATTTGGCCCTCGTAAGTGATCTTGAAAACGTCAGGTCTGTTTGTTGCGTAAATGTTTCTACTGTATATTTGTAAGTAACACTAATTTTAATATTGTATGCAGTAGCTTCAAGATTTTCAACTTGAGACGATGCACCTTGGACGTGGGGAAAAATAAATTAATTCATCCAGGTTCTTTGTCCTAAGTTTTTTTCTGTGTAACCTATTGCCGTTTTCTTTGATCTCCCATTTGCGAACTGTAACGAATTGTCCCTTTCTAGGCCCTGCAACTGCAAATGCGGTTGAGACGGCGACGGGACGTTCTTACGCAACTGAAAATGACAACACATCCCACCGCCTTCCTGTGATCTGCGACAAGTTGTTGGAAAATGCACTGTATACTTACCTTCATTGATTGAAGTTACTTTGCATCAGAGTGTTCCCCTATCTTCCTTCTATGCATTTTGGACGGCCACGTGTAGACACTGAGTAGTATGCTCCTTCGTCAGTTCTTTCGAAAGAGCTGAGTGGTTTCCATAGTTAGATTAGGCCCGACAGTTATTGAAATTTTTATCCAGATTAAAAAGCTGGTTATTAAGGCTCTGTACTGTAGCTGACTCTAACTTCTCTCAGGTACGCAACACGATGACCATCTTGGGTTAAGAATTGAACTAGTACCTGACAAGTCGTGCCTAACATTGACTTCTGCCTCAATCACTCTAGTTGACAAACTTTGAAGTTATGGTTGCTATCTTATCGATTTTATTATAGTCAGAAATATGTCAATTTTCCACTGAAGATAAATATACGAGTATCAGCCTTATTCTTCTATCCGCCATGCATCAGTGGAATGTCCGAGTCTCTCAACCAATCAGTGGTGAGATTGGGCGCACTGGCTGAAGTGACATGAGTACCTCCTTTCAGTGGATGTCACATGCATGTAGGGCAACGGATAAGGACATGCGCGGATTCGATAATAGCCATGGAGTGGAAGAGAGGGGAGTCTACCTGTAGCCATGGAGGACGATATCCGGTAGATGTCTGAACTGCCATGTTTGGTGTTGATTTTCCGGTATGTATACACGACCGAAAAGGGTACTTCGATGCCTGCCTTTTCGGTATGAAAAAAAACATGTATGGTGGTCACTGTTTCTTCGGCGCAGTGATAGATTCGCAGAAGGACCAACCAGACTAAGGCGTTATTTGTGTGCGTTAACGTAAGACACTCAATGTGGAATTATGTCTACAGCGACGGCGACGACTGTGACGGTGGCGATGACAGTGACAGTGAGC